GGGGAACTGATTCGGGAGCAAGAGATATGTTCGATGAGAAATCAATCACAGAATTTTGGCCCTTGATGTGCGATTCCTACCCAAAAGTGGCAGAAAGAGCTATCCGTGCATTGCTTCCGTTTGTGTCGACATATCTTTGTGAGTCAGGCTTTTCAACTCTGTTGCAAATTAAAACGAAGCAACGTAGTAGATTAGAGGTAGAAAATGACCTGCGTTGTGCCCTTTCAAGCACTCCTCCGCGTATCCCAGAATTGGCGAAGAAAAACAATCACAGGTTTCTCATTGACTGTAATCTTCATCTGAATAAAATTAATTACAAATTTACAATATCCTGGTATTCTATTGAACTTTTTGTTTATTGCATTATGCTTCAGTTTGGTCTGTTATGTAATTCATTATAAATATAAAAAACTATTTTACTTTTATTCAAGTTTTATAAATCCATCAACATTTTCAATTGGCATTTAATTTGTAAAACTCCACTATAAAAATAATCCATGTAAAATTGTAAATGTATATGTACTAATATGGAAAAATTAAAGGTTTTTCAGTATTATATGCATATTATTTGGAATGCACTTTTTGAGGCAGACAATCTTGGAAAGGAGGGGGAAATGACATTCTGACATATGGTGAAAAGGGTGCATGGGGCAAACAAGGTTGAAAACCACTGTACTAAACAGAACGTAACAACCATTGACCAGATATTCTCTTCTGTAATACTGTTTTGAATTACAGGATTCTATTGGTAGTATATAATGAACTAACTATAATACTTGGATTAAAAAGGCGTACTTAGTGATCATCTTGTTACTAAAATGATGCAACGTTGACCTGGTTTTATATGTGTGTGGGGTGGGGGGGTGGGGTAACTTTGCTATTAATTACATTGTTTCTTTTATGACTACAGGTCAAGGTTACAGGTTACAGGTGACTACATGTCAAAGTTACAGGGCGAACTTAGTCCTTATCCTATAATTAAAACAAAGGGGTATCACTATGTTTATATTTTCCGCTTTAATGCTGTTATTGATTACGGTAAATTACGGTTTTTTTTTCTCCCAGGAAACTCAAGTCGGTTACTCGCTCACCATCCTGTCATTTGTAAAGAAAGTCACACACAATCTGATTTTCTTTGTTATAATGCTATTATTAATTACAGTTTATATTTTTTTCATAGGATTCTATACATTATATTAAAGTTCTATTTCAAAAGAGTAAGCTGGATGAACGTATATCACTTTCATCCTGTATTAAAAAACATATATTGGCTTTCGAATTCCCCTTCTCGTACGACCTTTATTATGTAAGTCATGAAAAATACAATAAAGTAAAGGGATAAATTTTGGTCATTATCCTATACTAGAAAAAAATGACTAGTCTTCATATTTTGTTTCTCGTTATGTTTAGTTATTAATTACGACCACTATTTTTTCTTCCCAGTAGTGTATAGGTAATAAGGAAGGCAGAGAGGGTGAACTACATACAGAATACTGAATCAAAGGAGTTGTTCCCGGTGTCTACCTTTTTATATACTGGTGGTGAAGCCTCACAAGGTTGAGAACAAAGTCTGCAATTTGTTCTGGATATAACGTTGGCTGGAGGGGAGGTGGAGAGGGAGGGGAGAGGAAATGAGGAAGGAAAATGAAGATGGGAAGGGGAGGAAGAGAGGATGAGAGATAAGGAGTGGATGAGAGATGAAGAGAGGAGAAATGAGAAGCGGATGGAAGGGAAGGAGGGGGAAGAGAATGGAAGAGATAAGGAGGAGAAAAGACAGAATATTGAGAGAAAGGCACTTTATTTACCCTATATATATATATATATATATATATATATATATATATATATATATATATATATATATATATATGTAATATTCAGAAATTTCAAACACAGCGCCATTGGCGATACTGAGCTTTCAAGGTCGTCGGAGGGAAGAGAGCGCTCCCTGCACATAGCGAGAGGTTGTGGAACTAGGCCTAAGTGATATTAAATGTAATTTGCCGAATTAATAATGATGCGATTCATGAAGTTAAGGGACTATTATTGAATTTGAAATTATTATAGATCGTTTATCAGTCTGAATAATGTCACGGGTGTCCCAAGGAGTTATTAGTTAGGCGGAAAATATGTCACGTAGGCCTAAGCTAGCGCCTTGGAGAGACGCGACGCTGGCTGGTCCTCAGTCACGTGAAAGCGATTGGACCTACAGGACATCCCTGCGCGTCCGTCCACAGGAATAGTCACGTGGCCTAGTCACCTGTGTTGCACTATTGCAGTATAACAAGTAAGTCTCATTCGATCTCAGACAGGGTTAGGTAGGGCAGTGGTAAAGTTAACAAGAGCTAACAGTGAGTTCATTTCAGGGTTTCCATCAGAACCCACTTGACTGCGAGAAATTGACTGCGAGAGTGATGACCGCGAGAGATTGACTGCCGTTTGAGACTGCCGTTGATGATTGAGGGTGGCGATTGTCGCCATTGGACCGATCAGTGTAGGCCTGTCACTGTTTAGCGGGGTATCAAAGGATCTCTTGAGGGAATCTAGCCGTCTGGGTGCCCAGCTGACGACGGGACGATCGTTGGGGTCATCAGCTCTCCTCTACCTCGGCTCACAACACCACATGTCTCGAGCAGCTTAGTGAAACCCTCTTGCTCACGGGAAGCTAAAGCTTCTCTCAACTGTACAAGGTCTGATTGGCTCACTCCCTTCCGTTTCATGGATGTACTGGGGGTAAAGTGAAGCCAGCTGAGTGATACAGGGCCGCACACTGGGGCCAAGAGTCAGTGGAGTTAGAGGTACACTTTCCAAGGTGGAGAAAGGCTGATTTGGGCCTTCAACTACGGGTGCCTGTTGGTTGTGCCTTAAACGACAACGGAGTGCAGGTGGAATCTGTGTGTGTGTTAGGTTAGGGAGCATGGTTCACTAGGGTGTGTCATAGGAGGGAAGATCAGCTAAAACTAATGGCCCATCACTTTTTTGGTAGATTTTAGTGTATATAAACAGAAAATAATTTCAGTTTCAATATTTTGCAACCTTTTGCTCGGTAAATTTTAGCGTGAAATTTATCGAAAATCTAACGTACAGCTGCATTAGTGCATTACAATTAAATAGTGAACATTGCTTTCTGACTTCATTCTTTAACAACCCAACTAACAATATTTTTTTTGTTTCAGATTCTGATGCATTTATAAGTTGATAATATTTGCGATGGCTGCTTGTGTCAGGACGAGAACCAAAAATCCAGCCATCTCAGTCACTATCTTGGGTCTGGGAGAGCTCCTGGAAGTCTGAGTTGCCTACATTGAGAGAGATGCTTTGAGATACGGTGTTTTAATCAGGCAAATCAGTGAAAAGAACCAAAGAACTTACACAAACAAAGACATTACAGTGATATGACCAGTTGTCTTGGCATTAGCATACCATAACGCTCAGTCTAAGCCTCCAGTCATAACAAGTCAGAAGAAGATTAGTGAGAGACTGCTAGCCAGTTGGGGAAAAGTGCAAGAGATATCCTCTGGGAGAGGAAAACTTTGCAGTTAAGGACAAGCCAAGCAATCGGAACCAGTTATTTGGACATAATTACTTGCAAGTGCCCAATTGTTCTCTGTCCTGAGTTTGGATGCGATCGTGACTGTAAATCCGAGGCCCACATCTCCTGTATTTGCATGCGTGAACTGAAGATTCCTGTGATCGAACTGGCATTTGTCAAAGCACAGAGAGAGAAGACTGGCAGTATAGGGGCTCTCATGATTTCTAGCCAAGATATTCCGGAGTCCAAGAGACAGGAGGCTGCCACAGAGAGGCAGAAGAGGAGAAGAGTTGCTGAGGAAAAGAGACTTGAGAAGGCCCAGGGTGAGGTAAAAAAGGCCGATGATTGGAGTCAAGCTGATTC